CATCGTGGCCACGCTGCCGTTCACCTACATGCTGGAGGAGTGGAGGTGGCAGGTGTTTGCGGGCAAAATCAACAAGGATGATTGGATGCAGCGCTGGTGGGAGATGAAGTAAGCTTAGACTTATATGAGGTGTCTGCAAATAACCCAGTTCATTTATGCAGCCTGTGAAAATTCACGGGTAAATTGTATAGAAACCTGCTGACGTATTAATCCCTTTAATCAAATATGGTCATGATGAAATCTGAGGTGGACACACTGCAGGCGAGTGTCATCGCTTTTCCTGTTGTGTGACCTCAGCGGCTGCGTCAGTGCTGACTCTCTGTTGTCGTGACAGGAGGGAGCTGGTCGGGGTGGTGGAGCCAGTGCCGAGAGACGAGACATACTGTGACCCGCCTGCTCTGTTCCATGTATCAGGAGACTACTCTTTCATCAGGTAACACTCCTGCTGTACAGCTGTGCCTCAATGAAATAAAAGCATAATGATAATAGTAATATAATAATGATAATTATCTTTAGCCAGTCTGAATCTTTACTTTCTCAAAAGCAGTTACTGAATGTTCTGTCTGTGTTATGGTTGTCAAGACATTTTTTTAACTTTTTAACATATTTCAATAAAACTTGGTGGAAAGTAACATCTTGATCTAAGGAACAAGAAACATTAGTTTTTGGTGCAGAACCATTTCCTCAAGTTAATTCCTTAACATTTCAAAATCAAGCACTTTTTAAAAATGGTCTGATGAACTACGGCACTCACTATGTTTACTTTTCACATTTTTTTGTTTTTCGATTATACCGATCAATTTTGCCCAGAATCCTGCTAAGTCGCCTCCCCTAAAACTCTGCTTACTGTAAAAACTGCCTGTGAATACCTGTTTAACACATTCAAAAGTCAACTATTTTAATTTACATTCGTAACTCAAATTACGTAACAAAAATACAAATTTTAAGCCAAACCATGATCCTTTACTTTAACCTAACCAAGTAATTATGCAGCCTAAACTTAATGAAGTAGTTAGTTAGTTAGTTAGTAGATAATGCAGTTTAGTTATATGGGAATATAATTTAGTTGGAGACAAGGCTGCACAAAGACATGCTTTAGATGGCTTTGAGCTTTACTCTTGGTTGTGGCTGTTGGCTGCATACGGCCAAATGAAGAATCACACACCTTTGCAAACGAGACGGAGTAGCTGAGAAGTAAAACAGTGAGAGAGATTTAAGTGTGTGTGTGTGTGTGTGTGTGTGTGTGTGTGTGTGTGTGTGTGCGTGTATGTGTGTCTGCTGCTGGTTGTGAATACAGGTACTTCACGAGAACCATCTACCAGTTCCAGTTCCAGAAAGCGCTCTGCGATGCCGCTGGTCATACAGGTGCCTTGTCTACATGTGACATCACTAATTCTACAGCAGCAGGAACCAAACTGAGGTACGAACGACTTCCTGCACCTCTGGGAAGGCTGTCACAGAATCAGATGTAGTTGTGGTTGTCCCTGTGAAATGCAACAGTAATTTATCATCATCATCATCATTATCATCAATGTTTCTTTTTAGGGATATGTTAGAGCTGGGAAGGTCCCAGTCCTGGACCAGGGCTCTGCATACGATATCCGGTGATTTTAAGATGGACGCCCGCCCTCTGTTGGATTATTTCCAAAAGCTTCATGATTGGCTGAAGGCAGAGAACAAGAAACACAACAGGACTGTAGGCTGGAAGACAGCAATAGATCCATGTGAGTGCAAACGATACTTACATTGAAGATTATTATCACCACTAAAATAAAAAACAATTTTATCAAAGTTTGTTTTGGGTAATTCGCCTATTAGCTTTCTTGTCGAGAGTTACGGTAGATAATGATGCTACCACCAGCAGCTGGTTATCTTAGCTTAGCTCAGAGACTGGGAACTGGGGGAAACAGCTAGCTTGGATCTGTACCAGCACCTCTAAAGCTCACTAATGAACACATCATAGCTTAGTTGTTTAATTTGTACAAAAAAAGAAAATGCAAAAAACAACACGTTGTGGTTTTATGGGAGGTTTTGTGACAGACTATTTCTTGTCCAGTAATTTAGCATAGTCTTGTCGCCACCATGACGTTTTCAGGGCAACCATAGTCAACCATACCATAATAATAGTGGACACATTGCCCCCCTTAAATCCACAATGTGTTGTTTTTACACTGTGCTTTTTGTACAGTACGTACAAAGCAGATATAATGTGTTAATTAGTGAGTTTTAAAGTTGCTGATAGGTAGATTTGATTGCCTTTGGACAGAGCCAGGCGAGGAGTTTCCCCCTGTTTCAGTTGTGCTAAGCTAACCATTTCAAGCTTTGTATTCATTGTAAAGATATGTATAAATCTTCTCATCTTACTCTTAGCAAAACAGTAAATAAGCATATTGCCCAAAATGCTGAGCTATTCCTTTAAGCCTCCCTTCTATACTGCTTATCTGGGTTGAGTGTATCTGTCCTGCCATATCAAGTTTATGTAGCATTTAAGTCCAAACCAAACACAGTTATTTGAACCATTTTTGATACATTTGAAATTAAAACTCTCTCACCATTATGTAATAACTGTGACAAAAAAAACCCAGTATGTTACTTCTGATGAAATGTTTGCTCTGCCACTTGAAACAAGGGCACTGAAGTAAAAAAAAGAAATCGCTGAGGACATTTTTAAGGAAGCAGAAAAAAACACAGACTTAAGTCACTGCGGTTTTCATGACAAATATTTGCATGACCAAACCACATTTCACATTACAACATACACCCCGTATTTCTTGAATAAAATGGTTGTGATTGCAACTTGCTTGAATTTTTACACTTTACTTCATGTTTCAGGACTTATAAGCAACACAATGTCGATCACATGTCCAGGGGGCTCGTGTACACCAAGTTTGATTGTGTCATTGATTTATACTTTTACTGTATACATTCAAAGGCTATGGCAGTTTAAGTGCATGCAATGATATCCAAAAACAAATACATGGGCTGTGTTTACGGTCAGACAAATGTGTTATGTGCTATGCTTGGTGAAGATTTGATGAAATGTTTTTATCGAACTGAACTAATGATTAGATTTTTTTTGTTTGTTTACAGATTCAGGGAATGCCATTAAAGTCAGGCTCAGTTTGAAGGCTGCCATGGGTGATGAAGCTGTGAGTATTGTTAATCATTATCAGAATAGTTATTAGAGAATGAGGGTTGCAGTATCTGACTACACAGGAAGTGTATTTTGCCCCTTTGAAGTGAACTTCAGTCGGTTTGATATCATGGTAAATATTAATCAACTGAAATGTGTTTCAGTATTCCTGGAACGCCAACGAGCTGTACCTCTTCAAGGCCAACATTGCATACGCTTTGAGACAGTACTACAGCCAAAAGAACGAGAGCCTCGACTTCACGTCGGTACCATCCTGAGACCACAAACATATGAAGATACTTTATGCTTTCATCTGACTATCTTTTGTTACCATATTTGTTCGAGAGCATTTCTTGGTTTGTACCAGCAGAGCAGAGAATGTCCGTGCCTTTGGTGAGACTCCCAGGATCTCCTTCTACATTTTGGTCACCAACCCCACCAGTCCCTCCACGAATATCCCAAAAGTTGATGTGGAGGCTGCCATACGGTGAGGGACAAGTTACATTCAACACGTGACAAGTGTGTTATGATTACATACGGCATGTTCCAAAACACTGAGTGCAGTATACTTGTTTTGTATGAGCAGCTGTAATATTAGAGCTTACTCTATTTTTAGTCGCACTTATTCTGCGGACGGCAATGATGGTGTGTCGGACCAGCGCTTTGGTCCAGACTGAAGTATCTCGACAACCATTGGTTGATTTGCCACAAAATGTTGTACAAGACGTTCATAGTGCCCAGATGATGAATCCTAATGACTTTGGCGATCCTCTGACTCTTCTTCAAGTGCCACCAACAGGTTAATGTTCAAGTCTCAACAGCTACTGGATGGACTGGAACATTATTTTGTACAGAGCTACATGATTCTCAGACAATTCATCTTGCACCACCACAACAACTATTTTGGTGCAGTCATTCATGAATTGCAAAAACTTAAAAGCCTCACAGAGCTGTTAGCACTCCAGTTCAATTGCTATAATTGCTTTAATCCACTCAGTGTGACCTTTCCCTGGAGACAGTTGATAAGTGCGAGCAATAATAAACCCATTTCGATATTGGTCCCAGGTTAAGTCGAGGCCGAATCAACGACGCCTTCCAATTGGATGACTGGACGCTGGAATTCGAGGGTATCCGAGCAACGTTCGCCCCTCCCGTGGAGCAGCCGGTGGAGGTGTGGCTGGTGGTGTTTGGGGTGGTCATGGGAGTCGTGGTGCTAGCGGGCGTCTTCCTTGTCATCTCCGGTATCAGAGAGCGCAAGAAGTGAGTTTTTAGTCTTGAGACTGAGGCCCATTTCTACAGCGTTGGACCAGTTTACTTCCATAACTGTGAGACATAACTGTGTTTCTTGTGTGTTTGTAGGAAATCTGCAAAGAAATCCATGGAGAATCCTTACGATATGAACATTGATGGAGAAATTAACAAAGCCTTTGAGGACAATGACGGTGATCAAACTGGTTTTTGAGTCCACTGAAGAACAGAGGGATGGTGTCGTTCTGCAACATGTGTTTACTTGTTATATATTTTAGTTTGTCAGGTTATTTTATGGTGAATATCCTTGTAAAACAGTATACTTAATTGCAGGTAATTGTAGTACACAAAATATACCTCCATCTTAATCTATTCAAAGTGTGCTATTTTTGACACACTAATATTATACGTACTATAAGTGCATAAGTAGTATAGTAGTACAACTACACTTAAGTTGCCTTGACTGTGCTATTTTGAGTATAGTTTTTTGTAATAATAATGGACATTTACCTTGTATTATGCGTATATTTAAATTACATGGAATTTTACTCAAAATATCTCTTTATTAATGTATATCAGAGAGTGTTAAATAAACAAAGTTATTATCACATCACCTTTATTTTGTTTGTTAAATTGTTTAATATAATGTACATCCAAATATTAACACTTGTTAAAAACAAAAAGCAACAACAATCAGCTTGAAAGGTCACCGTAAACAACAAAACTGATTACACACTTACACACACACTAAACATTTTTTAATTAGATATAGTTGTATGATACATATCTACGCACTTCTGCAATAGCAGAATTTGACGCAGTGACGTGGGTTTTCTGTCACTGGCCCAGGTGGGTGAAACAAAAGAGCTCCTCTCATGTTTTTCTTTTGTTTAATATCAAGTCCCAAAGAAAATCCGCATGTGAATTTTAGTGGTAAACTTGACTGAGAATACGTCTTGAGTCTCCCTCAAGTCTGAATGATGAAGAGGAACGATTCTTCAGCTGTCATTCTATCCTGGGTTGCCGCTTCCACTGAGTTGTTGGTGTCTATTTGGATGAACCAGCCGCTGTGCAGCGCTGACTCAAACTTCCGCTGTTTGGTCCCCTCGTTCTTCATGTAGAAGACGAAGGAGAGGGCGTCCTCGTCGCTCTTGGAGATCTTCTTCAGCCTCTGCTTCTCGTAAGTCTACAGCAACAACAAACATGTGGACATCCGTCACGGACACAACTCTTCAACATCCTAACCAAATACCTGAAAAATAACTAATGACATTCCCATCAGCCTCAGCTGAACTTTGTCTTTAGTGCTTATTAGCAAATATTAGCATGCTAACACACTAAGCTAAGATGGTGGGTAAACATTATACCTTCTAAACATTAACATGTTAGCATTGCCACTCTGAGCAATGTTAGCATGCTGATGTTAGCAGAGATGGGGAAAGATACATCAAAATGTATTTTGATACAAAATACAAAATACCCCTCAAATAAATGTATCAAAATAAAATACAAAATACTGGTGCCAGAAAATGTAGCAAAATACAATACATGTATTTTGTATTTAAAATATAGGAAATACTTTTTTCTGGATTTTCCGTTTTCTCACAATTTGGTATAGCAGAGCATTCAGGTTTTGGCTATATAATATAATATAATTATATATAATGTACACAAAGCTCTGGTGAAGCCCACAAACAGGAAGAACAGTCACAGACATGTCAGTGTATCTAAGCACATCTGTGCTTGTTGATGGTCCTTCTTGAACATCATCTTGCTGAGACATGTTGTCCACCTGGCCAACTGTAGAATGTATGAAATAATAAAACTAAGAATACTTTCATAATATGCCTTTTAAATAAAATAAATTGGATATTTAAAGTTTTTTTTTTTTTTTTTGAACAAATAGCCAGGCTATGACAGTAGATGTCCAACTGTGAACTATATTATCTGCCAGTAATTGATATGGCATTATGACATTCACATTGAGAAGATACAGCATAACTTGTAATACAGTGCAGGATTAGATGGTCAGACTCTCTTGATAAGGTTATCATGAACATACAAGCTCCCAATCTCTCTCTTCCTATAGCTAGCTACTCGACTGATAAGTTAACTTGCTAAACACTGGCTATGCACTAGCCTAGACAGCATGCTAGCATCATTAGCATGTTAGCATCAAGCTTGATATTACAACCATCACCATGTATATGCAATAGGCTATAATGTAGCCAGACCCAGACATAAATTATACATCAAGCTAGTTGACATCTGTCACACTCAAGTAAAATATTTAACTTGACAGACAATCCGCTGAACTTGAAGATCTGAAGACTGAACTCGTGAACTGTTTTTTGATTCGTGGAGAAAGTATTTTGAGTATTTGAAATACAAAATTACTCCACTCTAAAGTATTTTGTTACAAATTACGTTCGATTTTTATCGGCCCTATCCAATACAAATTACAAAATACTCAAAAGTAATTGAAATACGTATTTCAAATACAAGTAAGAGAAATACTGCCCATCTCCCTCTTTTTCAGATGAATTGCCATTAAAATGACATCATGGTTCGTGGTGCCATGAGGATGCCTCCTTCCCCTGACTTTCATCGACCGCAACGCCACCAGCAGCAGTGTTAAATTTAAATCTAGTGAAGGCTCTCAACATCTACCAGATGGATTGACAGACTTTTTCATAATACATTCTTGGTTCTCAGGTGATGAATCTTGATAATTTTGGTGATTCCCTTACCCTTGTATTGAGTACCATCATCAAGTAAAAAACATCTAAAGAAAATCATCCTGTAGGGGACATGAATGGCAATCCATCCAATAGTCCATCGAGACATTTCACTCAAAACCACACATGTTAACCTCACAGTGGCGCGAGAGGAAAAGAAGGAGGATCACCAAAGTCATCCTCTGGGGACCATAAATGCCAAACTTCATGGAAGTCAATGTAATGGTTGTTGTAAATTCCAGGAAAGCTCTAGAGCAAAAGTCAGCTTGATGCATCTTAAATCTAACTATGTGTACATGAACTCACACAGCAACAGGTATTACCTCCACTTGTAGGAACACCCTGTTCCCTTCCTTGCAGCACCTGAGGAAGCAGTTGGACTTGCTAAAGTTTAGGACCACTGCTTGTCCCTTGAAGGACAATAAACTGGTTGACTTGTAGTAGTAGATGGTCATCTCCTCTGGACACAAAAAAAGATATATAAACAAACAAGGAATTTCACAAATCAACTGAAAACTACATTTGTGTTTACTGTAAATTTATCAGTAGGTGCTGTGTTGCCGCGTGCTGCTCCGAATGACAAACCTGGGTTCGGTGAAGCATAGATAGTCTTCTCTGAGCAGAGACCTCTGAGGTATTGATGAGTGGCCAAATGTTCGATTGGAGTGTTTAACGACTTTAGCTGACTGAAACTTCCACCTCCTCTTGCAACTGAGCACAGGGACACAGGGAACAATCAAACAAAGGGCATGTGGTTCATGGGTCACAACCCTTTCAGACGAAAAACACAAACAAGGGTCACTTCCTATTTTATCTGTGTATGAATACGTTTTACCAATGACAGGGAGTTGCACTGCACATGTTTCTGGTCTCTGATCAGATTTATATATAACTTCTGACTGTTTTCTTGACCTGTCTAAAACATTTAAACCCAAGAGGTCAGCTTTTCATGAGATCATTTCATCAGTTCATTTAGCTTACAAAAAACAATAAACGAGAACTCAATCCTCCAGTTTTTCTGAATTCCGAAGCGTTTTTGGAAATCCATGGTTGTCACTGAACTGTATCATGTATTTGTTCTTATGTTGAAAAAGTGATCCTGATCTCAGTGAGACTATCTGTATAAATAGAATGTAGAACAAATTAGACGGATAGAAGAGAAGATCGGAGACTAAAGCACAGCTTACTCACCAAGGGTCACCTTGCTGGATTTGGACACCATGACAACATCATTAAAGGTGCATCCTGTCCCATGGCATCCCTGACAGGGTCTCCCGCTGTCGCAGCCCCTCCCGCTCACCACGGAGATGCTGGTTTTCTTCAGGGATATGATGAGCAGATCCCCCCTCTCCCCATACCCCTCATTTTCAGGTTGGCAAACATTCTCCTCCCCGTCCCCGTCCTGCCCCACTTCACTCTGCTTCAGGTCTTCCACCCTCCTCATCTCCATGCTGAAACTGAGTACTGTGGATTCCTTGGAGAAGGGATGTAAAGTGTCCTCAGCTGGGAAGTCCTGCTCAGTGTGCTCCTTCGTCCTGCTGGCCTTGTGCACCGTCTGAAGACCGGAGGGAGGGAGGGGGAGAGTGGAAGTGGACGTGGGGTCAGACTGAGTATTCACTTTGTGTCTGTTATTGGCTGTGTGAAAACTCCACCTTAAAACACCTAACAACACAGCTACTGCCAAAGTGACAATGTGTGTGTTCTTCCTCTGGTGAACACTGAAATACCATGTAATGTTGAGCTATGACTGTGTAATTTAAACATCAACAGATAGTGTCATGTCAGCAAAGTTCACCTTAAGTTCATTCATTCCAATCAATAACAGGATAAAAACAGGTACAATTACTATTGTGAAAAGACTTAACATGAAATGTTTTGCATGTGAATTATGACAGCCACATATATATTCAGTGTAACAATATAACTATACAGTCTATATATATATATATATATATATATATATACACATACTGTATATATACACATCTAAAACACAAATGTGGTGTTTGATGTGCAAGACTGTGGAAGCCCAACTCACCAGCATCAGATTATCTTCAGCTAACAACTGCGCCAATTCCTCAGGTGTGAGATCCTGCAGGTCCATGCTATTTACCTGCATCAGTTTGTCTCCTCTCCTGGGAAAAAAACATTAGATATACAGGGCATATATTTTATTAAGACTTTTTAATTGTAAAAGTAATGACTTTATTAATGTTAACAAACTGTGTTATAAGCCATTAATAGGGGAAACTCCATCCATTTGGCTACTCCGTGTTTGCTGTAATCTTTCGCTTTTACCTTGAAATATAAAGAAACTGTTGCTGCTGAATTAATATTTCACCTCTGTGTCCCATATTTTGTTTTCTAAGACTTGTCTTATGGCAACCCAGTCTGTAGTTGTAACCACTTCACCTTCTAAAGAGAGCGACAGAGCATCTGGATCAAAATCCATTTATTACCACTTTTTCATCTTTAAAACTGCAGAGCTCATCATCTCTTAGAACGTTAGAAAGAAGTTATTAAAGCCCCTGTGAACTTTATTTGTCAATCAGCCTCTTAATTTGAGTAATTTGGTTTTACATTAACACACAGGTTTCTGTTAAAGTATTAATAGTTTTAGTTATTTCACATTAAAGAGGTCTGTATTTCTGTTTTTTTCCCCTCTTTTCATGGTTGTTAAAGGATAAAAAAAAGTGATGTCACCTCCTCCTGTTGTCCAATCAGGATTTAGAAACATTTTAATCTACATCTGATGACAGCTGGCTGGTTGTTTTCAATCAAGTCTGATCAAAGAACACAATCCTGATGATGTTTTTGATTATCAAAATAGTTACCAAACAATCCATTAATCAACTAACTGTTTCAGGTCTACTTATGAAAACCAATACTTTTTATCTATAAACCCCATTATAAAGTATTCCTTATGTAGTAACCAGTCTTCCAGTTCTGCTGTTTGAGCTTTAAATCATGACTGAAAACACATTTCTGTTGACTCACCTACTTGTATGCCGGAGTTGTTTTTGATGAAATAAAAACTTTACTTATTTTTTTATGAATGTTCCATTTAGCTATTGTTTTCTACAGCATCCTGTATGGTATATTTTCCTTTTTTATTTTTTTGTTAGATTTAATCTAAAGCACTTTGTGGTCCGTGCTTAAAAAGTGCCTTTCAAATAACATCATTCCTACTCTTTTGTTTTATCCTCAACAACAAAAAGTCTGTTAACACAGTGTCTGATTTATACCTGACAAATGCTTTTTCACGCGCTTTTTTGTACTTCACATTTTCCACTTCGTACTGGTGCTTTCCCTCATGGATGTGGTGGACGATCAGCACGCCTCCCTTAACCACAGAATCCTGACGTTTAGAAACAAATAAACAAACTTAAAGCTTCAATGCAATATACACAATCATATCTTTTAAAATGCCTCTCACATACGTCGGTGCTCTGTGTTAAAGATTGCGTTACCCACCTCCAGATCCATGGTGCTGCCAGTGTCCGCTGCTGTTAACGCAAAAGACTGAAGCCGACACCAGGGAAAGTGCTGGCGTTTTAAAGCCTCCAGCGTGTTCCCCCTTCTGTTTTGCAACAGAAGGGGGAAGTAGAAGTGAAAGGCCACTGACACAGTGATGGACGTGGAACTGATGTCAGAAGAGGAAGTGAATGAAGGTGAGTAAATCTTAAATGAAACCGGGGACTCATTGTCTGATTTTTTATTTCCATTGTTAGAAAACAGAACTTGAGGAGCGAGTTCATCTGTTTCTGTACATTGTCTACATGTCACCATTCACTATCACCAGCAAAGGTCTCACTAATGAAAGTTAGAAGACATGTGATGTTATCTGACTCTCACACTCCTCATTCTTTACTGTACTGCATGTCATATAAAACCCTTTTTTGTATTCATATTCGATTACTGTAAGTTCACTTCCTTGGTTTTTGGCAATACCAATAACCTCTACGCTATTACAGTTCACAGAAATAAGAGGAAACTATGTTTTCTATCACGCATAGGAACTACTGAAAGGCTATGACTTCCTCTGTGACAGTAAATAACTCGGTAAGGGATATACATTTATACTATGTGTGCTTCTACAATGAACTGTCCAACTAGAAACGGAAGCAATCATTAACGGTTCTTCACAAACTGTAAACGCCAGTTTGTTACTTTTTGCTTTCACATTATGTCAGGTTGGTATTGAATATAGTAAGCAAGACATTTTAACTGTTGGTTCGTTTAATCTACAGCAATGCATCATATTCTGTCAGATGATCTTCACGTTTGTATCGTTGCTGTCCTGTGGGAACCACAAACAGAAAAACAGCCCCGTTTTCAGTTTTGTGACGATGCAGTTTCCAGCTGATCCAAAAGGCTTTTTAAGTTTATTTAGCTTAAGAAGTAGGAGAATTTTCTCAACGCATAAAGAAAGACTTTAAACAGTTCATCACAAACATTCAAAATCAACAGATTTGAAATTTTTTCAGTGGTCAGGAAGGGTTCTGAAATAGGCTAATTTGAAAAGTTGAAGTAAAGTACTGCTTTAATACTGGGATGAGTTGTGCTACTAAATATATACAAGCAGACACAAACAAACACTGAAGCTATTTCCAGTCCAGCTAAATCTGTAGGCGCTGAGGTGGATTGAGTTACATGACAAGCACGCGCGACTGTCGCAAAGATTTTCAGGTCTGCCACCGCTCAGTGCAGCACGTTTCCACCGTCTCAGAGGCTGGCACAAGTTGAGGATCCAAACTCAAGCAGGTATTGTGATGCACTGAACATAAACTGTATACAGTGTATATACTGCATGGGCTGAGAAAAGTTTCATCGTTGCAGCAGCTGAAGGTGTCGAGTAACGTTGACCTCTGCAGTGCATTTCACTTGGTTTAACACACAGTGTGCGGATGGGATGATAAAGTTTGAAGCACTTTAATTAAACACACTATTTCAAATGATCAGACAAAGCTTAGTCACGATGTGTTGGTTGAAATGTGTAGTTTTGAGTTTTAGGAATAACTCAATAGTGTTTATTTCTACAAACTATGTCTGTGAAGAAAAAAGTAAAAGAATGAATTGATTTTTGTGGCGTTCCCTTTCGAGGTGCAGTAAATAAGTTTGATTTTTTTTGCATCTGAGATTGAATTTGAAATGAATACTGTGCTAAACACTGGTAACACTATTCACTATAGAAATTTCACCGCCATAGCCTCAGGGTGACGCACGTGATATTTTAAGGAACTGACTCTGGCTTTGAAAGTACAAGTAACCATCCCACCCTTGTTTCTAACTACATCAGCACTGTCCTGTCTGTATTGTGTCTGTGTGTGTTTCAGATGGAGATACTCGATGTGTTGATAATAGGGGGTGGCCCTCATGCCATGACCCTCGCTAGCTTGCTATCCAACCCTGACCCTGATCCAAACTCAGACCCCGGACATGACTTACACCTCTCCCCCACTTCATCGGACCCTCCAGGGCCTCAGGCAAACCCAGATACCTCCAACAACAAACGCTGCGGTGGCAGGAAGAAGAGGAGGGCGACAGCTGGTACCATGAGCTGGGTTTCACTCACTAAATCATAGATATTCGATTTTTATAGAAGTTTACAATTTTGACTTAGTAATTATTGCACTTCAATTATTGCAAGGTCAATCATTGGTCGATTAATCGACTATCATCAACTATTTTGACGATCGATTCATTGTAAGTCAAACATTGCCACGATCCAGTTTCTAAATTGTGAGGATTTGCTGCTCTCTTGATTCTTATGCAATAAAAAAAATTTTATTTTGGGGTTTTTGACTGTTGGTCGGACAAAATTACATATTTTGAAGACGTTCATTTGGGCTCTGGAAGATTCTGAAGGTTTTTTTCAGTGTTCTGTAAAAAAAAAAATGTATTTGCCAAACTATTCATAAATCAAACCATTGAGAAAATAATTGGCATTATTGGCGTATACAGATGCAAAAGTCATTATTTCTAGTTATTATCGAATAACCAGAAATTGTTATGCTATATCTTGATGTAGTAAGTCATCACTTCCTATTCGTTTCTATTAATTCTGAGTTAATCTTGATTTAAGGATTTTGTATCAAAATATTTTGATGTATTAGGCCTATAGATGCCGACTGGCTGACCGACTGTACTGTTGATTTTCCTGGCAGGAATGAGTTTCGTATCAGCTTGATAATCAGACTTCATTCATTAAATAGAAAATGTTGTGGAACCGGAACATTAGGCACACAACAAATGAATGACCATTTGTCACCGTTACTACTTCATTTTGACATACATGTGACGTACTCACAGTTCAGTTATTTTGTTGTTTGTGATTAGTTTCTGCAGGCCTGACACTGGAGGAGCGACTAGCAAAGTCGAAGGTATCAGAGAGGGTCGACTTTCCACCGATGAGTCTCCGAGTGGTGGATTGTTATGGAGCGTGGACCGCTCTGTGGGAGAGACAGTTCACAGCTCTGAACATCCCTCATCTGCGCTCACACACACTTGTGCACACAGACCCTCTCAATAAGGTAGAAACACAAACAATTTCCCCTGAAGTGGAAGCCACGAAAGTGCTTTTACAGTATGGATGTAAATAAGCACGTGTGTGCGTGTGTGCGTGTGTGTGTGTGTGTGTGTGTTCTTCGTCAGACAGCCCTGCAGGAGTTTGTTTTAAAGTCTGATCGCTCTGCGGAGCTTCACAGTCTCCCAGACCAGGTTTACATTCTGGACGAAAACGCATTTTTCAACGACATGAGGCTCGGCAGGAAGGAGAGGAAACGTCTCAACATCACCTCAACACTCAAGAAGAGTTTATCCTTCAGTCTGCCAGGGATCAAACTAAGTGTGGATTTCTTTAAAGATCAGGTTAGACACAGTATATTTGTGAGTGTGTTCTGCAATCTGAAGTCAAAGAAAGAACAGACAGACTTATATAATCACAAGCTTCCATTAAACAAAATATTATACGATACTCCTGGCGTTGCGTTACCTCCAAAATGACACATGACACTTTAAAGGTGCTTTATGAGTTTGGGAGCAATTCTGTTGCCTCTCAATGGCTCTCAACATGTCGACGGGTGAGCTGGCAGCTAGCAGCTAATAGTGCTAACAGTGCTTACCTTAAAGGGGGATCGGAGGGTCAAAGCTAGGACGAACTCGGATAACAACACACTGAATAAGAGCGACTGCATTCTCTGCTCAGATAGACATTACTCCAATATATCTTTACATAGAAAACAGTTGTTTGCCGCTGTAGTAATGCTCTGAATCCCGTATATTGCCCCTTTAAAAAGAAAAGAAATGATATATTTGTGACTCGTTTTTTTTAAATGTATGTCTTCACTTACAGTAGATGGAAAAAATACTTGCACATTTTATCCATTAAGCAGCATGAGCACTGAAATCTGAGCATTTCTGAGTTGGTGAATCTGAACATGCAGGTGGAGAGATACAACTTGGACAAAGTGCTGCTGAAGGGAACAGTGGAGCACATCACCCCTGTGATGGAGGACAGCGCAGACTGGTTAAAAGAGAGTGAAGCCATGAGAGTGACTGAAAGGAAGAGGGTGAAGTATTTTCGAGTCCAACTTCAAGAGGGCATCGTCCTTAAAGCCCGCCAGGTCGTTATGGCGACAGGTCCAACCCGCGCCCAGATGGCAAACATCCCTTCATGGGTGAAAAGCATTGCAGAGAGCTACCCAGAGGAGCGTTTGCAACACACAGTGCACCTCATGCACCACCTGCCGACTGCTCGGCAAAAACTCAAAGACACAGATAGTCCGAGACAGAAAGAGACTCAAGGTAAGTCAGCTTTCCTCTGAGCATCATGTTACATCACAATAATACAGAAAAGCTCTGCAGGGAAACAATGTTCAAGCATTATTTTAAAACTGAATGCCCCTTTACCAGTGTTTTTTTTTTTTTTTGCCATAATAATGAATAACACTTCAGTGGCTATTTGATCCCCCGTCCTCGACGCAACACTTTCGTTTACAAGTGCTGTTTGTGTGTGTAGACTTGTGTGTAGTGTGTGAGGCAGGGCAGAGAGTAATGGTAGTTGGTGGAGGTCTGACCAGCGCTCATGTCGTCTCAATTGCCCTGCAGCAAGGTGCCAGCCATGTGACATGGGTCATGAGGAAGCACCTCCAGGTCTAGTGACAGTGTGAAGCTGCATGTAGACCAACCATAAATGTAGATGTACCCATCGGCCTCCAGCACAAGCGCATCAGTCCTCATTGTTTCTCCTGCAGTTAAAGCAGTTTGATGTGGGCGACGTGGAGAGCCTGGTGGGCCGTTACTCGCACGTGGAGCACGGCATCAAGATGGATGGCCAAGCCTACCTGAGGCAGTTCTACAATGAGCGGAGTCTCCACAAACGGCTGGCTATGATTCGCCAGGCGAGGAAAGGAGGCGCCGTCACCCCGGAGGCCTACGTCCACCTGCAGCCGTTCATCCTGAATGGACGGGTGGCCGTGAAGACGTACTGTCAGGTAGCGGTGCATGGGCGTCCCGCAGGGTGTAAGGTTGAGGATGTGGTGGATGGAAGGTTTTTTACCTGAATCTCATGCGACTGTCCAGGTGAGTGATGCCAGCTGGTGCTACAGGAGCCAGGCCTGGAGTCTCTCACTCAGCACTGGGGACCACTGGACCGGAGATATGATCTGGCTCGCCACCGGCTGCAAACTTGATGTCAAACAGGACCCCTTGCTATCTGAGGTGATGAAGGAATTCCCCATTCAGGTGGGTCGGACATACAAATGTTTTTATGTACATTGTCTATGTATGTTAAGAAGTTAGGACAGGGGAACTCAACAAAAGTTGTGTTTTGTTTTTTAAAAAAAATTTAAATTACCGGAGGGATGCAGAGATAAGAGCAATGGATTCATCTTTTATGATGTAACCTGAACAAGGCGACACTAACGGATGCATTGGTTGTCCCTCCATGAAGGCGATAGATGGCTGGCCGTGCATATCAGAGAGCTTACAGTGGGCAGAAGGGTGCCACTTCTACCTGATGGGGCAGTATACAGCTCTTCAGGCAGGTCTTATACAGAGTGTTTTGGTGGGCACAAAATAGGTCTCAACAAAAATTTGTACAATTGTTTCACAGAGTCCGTGTCGCTTATGTTCCCCCCCTCACACACACACAGGTTGGACCTCATGCGGTCAACCTGGCCGGGGGACAGGCTGCCAGCATGCGAATCGCCAAGGACATCATGCGCCGTCAGCAACAGGACAATGCGGAGGCTTCTGAACTGAGTGTGGAGAAATCTAAAACCGAAGAATATATTCAACAGATGCAAGGCCTTCTATGGCTTTAATGTTACCCGGCATCTATTCTTGTTGACTAATGGGCCTATGTGGCCTTGATTAAATAGATTGGACTAAAATAAATGCTGTGAAACTGACTTTTTTGAGGGGGAACTATAACAACTATTATATCCTAAATCTAATACAGATTTGTGTTCATCTTTAAGGGCCCAATCAGTCGTTTTTAAACATGAATTATAGGTATGTTCACAACACTTCAATGACAGCACTTGGATGAAAAACCTGTTTTACATCACTGTTTACAACATGGCTGATTTAAGTGTGGTAGGGTTAGCTGACCCACCTTAAAGGTCAGTCCACCTTAGGTGAGCCCAATAGTGTTCCAATAGAACACAGGTGTAGCTCATTCATGCTCCTCTACAGTATAAACCAGGTAAACACTCAGGCTGCAAAGACACTTTCCCCTCATATTCCTGTGGTGAGTTGATTTGAGCTGCTTTTGTTTCTTTTATTTGTATGTATTGGTGTCTTGTATGTAGCTTGGAGGGTTGACTGTTTTAATGTATAGGCCACATTGTCTCTTGATTACCAGCACACTTCCTGGATTGTGGTGGCTGATGATAAAGAGGTGAATGCTTGTTCCATGCTGATTAAACCCCTTCTGTGACTGTTTGTGTATTGCTCACTCGGTGGTTTTGGTCATTGTGTAATTTTCTTTTCTTGCAGTGCTGACTGTTGTGCATAGTTTCTATCTGTATGTAAGTACAATTTATTTATAAACCGCTTTTTACAGACATAAGTCACAAAGTGCTTAACAGGGCAGAATTACAAACATAAAAAACACAAGTTCTGTGTATGGTATTTCACCACCAATTTGCGTTGGTCGAGTAATTTTCCCCTTAAATTTCCCCAGCTTGGTAGCTAGTGTCCCTCCACCCCCTGATTAACAGTTCTTGTATTTTATACATGCAGGCCCATTGTTCCCACAAAGGAAAACATGGTTGGATATTTCTAATTATAGTTAATAAACAATTATTAACCTTGGGAACTTTATCTCTGCTAGCATGTGTTGTAAGTAAAAATAACTGAGATGGTCCAATTCTCATCCCCTGGTCACATAAACAAATATATTATGGCAGTGAAAACTTGTGAATCAAGGATAGTTTTGTATGTTCATATTGTAAAGTCCTGTGAGACGATCTCATTCTGTGCTGTAGGCTTATAAGTTAAGTTGACTGGCAGCGTAAGCGCTGTGAACTTTGGGTCCCATTAAGATTGTGGATTGTGTTTTTTATATTTTTAAAAATAGAAACTTAAGTTATTCTAATGCTCCTTACTCCTAGCATCTCTTTTCACACTGTGGGAATGTCTTTAACCACGCCTCCTGACTTCCGCATTGTAGCCAAGGATGACTAAAAGAAATGCCACATGTCATATCCTAGGGCTACAATACTTGCGCACGAGCGTAACCAAAAAGTTCTGTAAGGCCGAGCGCAACCCAAGAGACCCTGAGTAAACACATAACTTATGTATAGCGCCTTCTGCTGTAACCCTCTCAGATTCTAGCTCCACTTACACTGCGCATGTGTGAAACCCCATAGCTCAAGACATATCAAAATACGCCTACCTGAGCAGGTGAACGGGGCTGCAGTCACAACAACCCGGGGCGGTCGTTCTAATGTCGACATAAACATTGTAAAACAGAACAGCGTCGTGACTGCTCTTATTTGAGGTAGGTGGGTTTGTTCGTGCCGGCCGGGTACTCGGTACCTCTACCGCTAATTGACTCCGTGTCTGTAAGCAGTGGGAAGACGGGACACCAGCTGCGTGCCAACCCACACGATTCAACAGTAAAACGCATCCTTAAACGTTACAACAACAGTTGGGTGGGGTATTTGTGCTGCATTCACGCGGTGTCGGAATAATTGGAAAATAAACTACCGATTTGGCAAATTGACGTGAACGCCCCCTCAAACCGGAAGAAATGAAAGCTGTAGTAGCTGACTGATATCGAATGAACATGTGCCTGTGATGAATAGTTATTAATTTGGCACTCTGCAGTTTTGAGAAAATATAAGGATGCATGCACTCGGAGCGGGGATCGTGCGGGACAGAGGTGATGATGGAAATGAATATGGGAAAGTTGTGAGAGGAAGCCGTTGGCGGCAGCAGCTCTGAGATCAGCTGACGACCAGCTGATCAGATCAGCTGACGCACTGGCAGCTGTGAGCCTCCTCATATGATAGGAAGCGTATTTTTGAAACCGGGAAGTCCCTGTGATTGCTTGACATTTCCGGTTATTTGTCATGTTGCTTTGCACTATTTGATTTGGGAATTTTCCCATTAAAGGTTTGCATTTTATTATTTTTACAAGATAGACTTTTATAAAGAAACCGTGATGATTAATTTAAAGGTCGAAATGCATTTAAGATCCAATTTTGCTTTGAGAATGCAAATGTATACTATTTGAGATGTTCAAGTTACCCTGCCGTATACCCACTGCATGCTTGGAAACTGGTTACACTTTATTAGTGTCAGTGAGGAAGAGGATGATAGGTGTACATTTTCTGTGACATATGAAGCATATTAAAAGACTAACAGTGATAAATGGCTTGATAAATGTACTTGTCAAAAACAGCAATTTCAGATGATACTCTTTACTCTGGTGTTGAATATTTAAAGACGTTTGATTGTCAGACAAGTTGTTTAACTTTTTTTTAATCTCACTGTACACAAGAAAAACACAACATGGATTTGTTGCTTCAAAACAAACCATTTTTCATTATGTCCATGATTACCTTATGTTATTGTCTGTCGTTAATAAAAACGTACTATATTTTATTATTAAGTATGTTTTATGTTTCTGCAGTGACTAGTGAATCCTGTACCAGCACAATGAATGTGAGGAAGGTGGAACGGACAGTTCTCAGCGTGGAACAGTCGGAGGGAGTTGGCGCTCATGTCCGGAGGAGCATCGGTAGAAAGGAGGTCAGCATCTCAGAGTTAATGGAGATCGACAGTAAAATGTTTTTTCTTTACAAAAAACTAATTTATGCAATACCATAAATATTCTATTTCCAGCTGAGAAACCTCGATCCTTTCCTGATGCTGGATGAGTTCAGAGTGAGCAAGCCGGCAGGTTTTCCAGACCATCCTCACAGAGGATTTGAGACCGTAAGAATATTTATGTTTACAATTTAATGATTAAATTACATTTTAGGCGTTTCAATCTATTTAGTGTAGCAGGAAATATTAGATATGATGACGAAAGTTGGGGAGCCATGGTAGCTCACCCGATGAAGTGGGGGCATGTACCAGTTCAATTCAGTTTTAAGTCAGAGTAAATGGGAGGAACGCTAATCTTTTGTCCTTGTATCAAACTCTCCAGGTCTTAATGCTTTTATTCACCTGACTGAACAGTTTCCGTGGTCGCCGATTACATCACATCATCATTATTAACACTTTTTACAAAATACCACATTTTAGTTTAGATGATACCGAAATTTACCAGAGATTATACACCCTAAAAAAATGTGACCATTGATTATTTAAAAAAAAATATGGCAACAAAGTGACACCTAATATAATTGAATAGATTTTAAGTTCTACAAATTTGATTAAAACATATTGAATAAATTCACTAAATCTAAACAAAAATAAGTATATCCAGATCAATTTCTTAAGCAAAACTGATTTATATTTACTAAGAATCTGAGCAAAAGTCATTTAAACTGTGACCTATATAAGTGAACATATTAATTAATTTTGAATGAATTGAATATATATTTATGTGTATATTTGTAAACATCTGAACATTCTAAACTTATCTAATGAAGTGGCCACTGAGTGCTAAACCGTGCAGTTATTTCACACTCTTTTTGTGGAGAGAATCTCAGGCTAACATTACCTCCTGTAGATGAAAGTAGAGCAGGATAGCCTGCGACCTCAGACCCATGGTTCTGCTCTCGAAGGGGAGAAGGTCCAGCAGCCTGGGAGTGAATTCATCCAGCTTGGACATTAACTTTGATTCAAGGTGCACCGTTGTGATTCTGAAACTCATACTGCATCTGAAAAGCATAAAGCCTCAAATTGAATGAGTGTTCATAATTTTATATCATTTTATAAGACCTCCGGTCACAAAAGCAGCTCGGTGTAATCAGTCAGCATGAGCTGCAACCACCGTTTCAAAGCATACTGTGCATACACTGAAGTAGGGCGGTAATTCCATCTGAATCTCCTTCTGTGGCCTCTTGTACTGAGAACAGAGACATGAAAGTGAACGTTAACAAGACAAAACCTACAGAGAACAGAATGTACGCAAGCTGAAAATGATGCTGCTTTTCAACAACAAGATACTTGAGTAAAAGTTTGACTTGAGAAAATGAAATGCACTGATTGTAACTTGTAACTACAGTTGTACTTGTTCATACATTTGTGCATTCAAATAATGAGGCCTATTTGCTCGGTAATTTGCTAGCTAACAATAGCTTGTTAAGGCGGAAGCTCGGGCTGAGGCAGGATAATTGGTCAAATTAAATTGGCTGGTATCTTAAAAGGGCACTTTACACAGTATTGTAACATGAAATGACGACATTGAGTCGACCACTTTTGCAGTCCTTGGTACGTTTTTAGTAGAATCAAAGACAATGCAGACTGACTGACTTTGAATCACTTAGTTTTGATTTACAGCGCAGTAAAGTTGGCATGTTTGGTAGCTTAAAGAGGGCAAAACTATATGTTCAACTGCAGCAGCAACTTGGTTATAAACTGTTTTTTACCTAATAATAGTTAAACATGACGTACCTTTGGGAGAAGAGCAGCCCCCCGTCCCTGATGGTGGCAGATGGTTGACGTGTAAGCTGATTAAAATCAAAGACTTCTCAATGAGTCAAATACATTTTCTGCATCATTTATGTTCCTGGTGAAATACAATTAGATTGTACTTAGAGATTTGCAGTTTATTAATACAATGACATTTTTTGTATTCAACTCAATTGAAATCAAAACTACACAGTCTTTTTTTATTATGTATAGGTTACTATTTTTTGAATTAAGGCCAATCACAGATTTTACAGTGTAAAGACCCTTGTGGTTATTTTGTGATATTGGGCTAAATAAATACAAATGTATTTGACATGATTTATCAGGTCCCGCTTCTCATCTGTGAGAATGTGCTGCTCTTCTTTGTCTCATGTGATGATATACACTGAACACATATGGTTTTAAGATCATTTTGACACTTAATGAATCAATAATCTGCAGATTAATCGTAAATTACAATTACATAATATTATTTGTAAAATATACAATCTTTCATCTCCACACATTAATGGGTGAAACAGTATTTTCCATATTCCAGTGCAAAGCGGCAAAATCAGAATGTTTTCAACCTCATTCTTTATTTATGTCAAGACTTGGCACAGGATATTACTCGCCACAAATGATCTAACTATAGCAATACTTTCCTGACCATAAAAAAAAAAGTACAATTCCCCACTAATACCTCAAAACCATATAAAGGTGCTGAGCTGGCAAATAACTAAAAAAAGATAACTGAAGCACAGGACCAACAGGTTTCACTGAGGGGTGAAATTCGTACTTTGATCACAAGATGGCGACAGCAGGACAGTATGCAGACCACTACAGTACCACTCTGCCTTCCTCACATGTTGATTTAGGGTAATGATATTAAAAAGAGACAGAGATATAATATCTGCTGGTTCTGTTTAGTTTGCATGAGCTCAAGTTGAGCCCAGAAAGCTTTGTTTCACAAATTCCCATCATGGCCACTCACTAAAACGTCCCCTATTCTGAAAGAGGAATTGTCCCGCCTTCTGATGCATCTTTGTTTTATTATTTTTGGCATTTGAAATGAATGTATTCTGTCTCCATCAAAGTTACTGACAAGTTTACTGTCCCAGTTTGTCTGAACACAGAGGTCAACAAATGTGATCACAATACTGCAGTATAGCCTCTTGTATATACATATTAAAATATAAGCTGTAATTTACATTCTTAATGCAGTATTTCACTCCAGTCTATGATCATTTTTAACAAAGTAGACGTTGCTTCTGTGTTGACACAAACATATTTAAAACCTACTCATTCAGGACAGTTTGGAATCTACAGCTGCCCCTCTGTTTAATTCCCACCCTTCCTTCCTTGCATTTCGTCATTTATTTGAAATTAATTATCACTTATTTAATTAACAGATGTAACTAATGTCAAGATGACAATTGAAAAAACTTAAATTTGATTTTTTTAGGACTGTTTGCCAGAGAAATTAAACTATTTTAAGATATCATTTGAGCTTAAGTGTGCTGGAAATTTGGCATCACCGTTTGCACTTGATGGACTCATTGGTCAATTTAAAAACTGAATGATTTACAAATAAACTTACAGCTATTTTGAGTAAAACTTCAATATTTTTCCCCAACCTTTCAATATCTAATGTTTAAACTCTGGTTTTAACAGATTTATTTGGATCAACTTTACTTTAAAGCTGCACCAAATACTGCATGTAGGGATGAACCCACAGAGAAATATCAGCCAAACCTGCTGTTTCCTTGCAGCTCCGCCAAGAGTTTTAGCACCTAGCGGAGCAGCTCTCTTGCCCTCAACTATACTGCTTTGATTCATTCACTGGCAGCTATTTTCAGCCCAAATACTCTTAATACATTACCAGTACACTACCTGCCCAGCACCAATAGCAGAAAGACTCAGAGAATAGCCGATGAACAGAGTGGAACTTTTAGCAGCTACATCACATGGACAAACACGACCCCAAATGAATAATAGCGTTGCTCCTGGTTTGCTTAATGTTTTCCTGCTCTAATGGCCAAATACATTTTTGCTGCTTTTAGGAAAATTACATTTGAGCATGGGTCTGGACAGTAAATGGTCACAGAATATATGCAGTAAGTGTCGTATGGACTAATTACTTAGTTTTTCATTACAATGCATCTTTAGAAATGGACAGCCTTTTTGACTTTTGCCTGCACTTACCTGGTTTCTGCTCTGCATCTATAAAATGGGAGAATGTCTGATTGAATTCACTTTTCAAGGAATGGAACATATAGTTTACTCTTTAGGCTGAAGCACTTAGTGATTGGCATGTTTATAAAATGCCTTCATGAATAAATGTATCACTTTGTTTGCTGTTGCATATTGAATTCACCACACGCTTGTCATGTTTTCTGTTTTTTATTATGTAACTCTGTACTCTGCGTTAGCAGTAATACTTCGGCCACATTGAGGAATTTGTCAAGCTGTATCTTTAAGGTCAAACTTTAAAAAACCCAGATATTATCCTCAGATGGACGTTCCTCCCAAGAGTATTTGAGTTGGCAGATGCAACTTAAATCTCCTGGTGCGGGTGGGCCGACTAGGCTACACTCCCAGCATGCCTTTCAGCAGGTGTGTTTGCTCGCACTCGCATGACTTTTGAAATCACACAGCTGTGGAGACAGATCACAGGCAGCTCACTGCAGGGACCCAAACTTTCCTCCCTTACACAGATGTTCACCTTTTGAACCCGTGACCCATCACTCAGCACTTCTCTTCCTGTCCAGTCTGACCACTGGGCCCGGGAAATGAGCGCACACGCGCTTTTAGTGTCGAAGTAGCACTTTGTTTATAGGCTCGACTGAGTTAATTAAACCTGGAACGTCATATTTCACTGAATGCAAAGTCATCACTTGATGTCAAAGAAGTGGTCAAAATAAGGCTTAAACAAGATGAAATGCATGGCAAAAATGCCCCAGTTCTCTAAATTTTGTTTTGAAATATAACTTGTCATCTATATGAGGTCTACATGTGTCTTTCTTCAAACAGGTAACCTATGTTTTAGAGGGGATCATAGCCCATGAAGACTTCTGTGGACATTCGGGGCGACTGGAAGCTGGAGATCTGCAAGTAATGCTTCTTTTTTTTTTTTTTTCTTGCCGAGAGTTGGATGAATAGATTAACACCGCTCTAATGTTTGTGCAGCACATATTAAGCTACAGACTCTTAGCTTAGCTTAGCAAAACCAGCTAGCCTGATGAACTCCTACCAGCACACCTGCAAATCTCTCTAATCTATTTTGTTTAATTTGTACAAAAATTGTAAAAGTAAATACAATTTCTTTGGACGCATTGATGCTGATTGCCTACAAGACTCCTGGAAGTTGACTGTAAGGCCAAGGAGATAAAACATGTTATTTAGAGAGCTAGCTGTTTCCACTCTTTGTGCTAAGATAAGCTAACCAGCGACTGACTGTAGCTTCATATTTAACATGCAGACATGAGATGGGATCAATCTAACTCTATGCAAGAAAGCAAATAAGCGTATTTTGCAAAATGTCAAACTATTCCTTTTACCTTTGCCACTAATAAAATAGCTAAATAGAGAAATAAAATGAACATTTTCTTTTTAGATCTTAGATGTGTGTTATCTAACCATGTGATCATTATCAGTCTAACCCTCCTAATAGTAAACTAGAAGCAGTCAGTTCTCGTTATTTACGTGAATGAAACTACAAGAGCAGAGAGACTCAAGCCGATTGGCATATGCATTATAATGTTGTGCACTCCCTCTAATTGGATATCGTGCCCTGTGGGTTGTTTCCTGTGTTTTTAAAGTAGTAAAGTTACACACAGCCTGCTGACTCGGCTTCAATCTGCAGCAGAGGTTCAGTCGGTTTAGCTGAATTTGCTGTAACCCACCATGTGCACCATACGTAGCCTCGGATAGGATGTCATGTTGGAGCTGCAGATGCTCAAACAGCTGCCTGCCTGTGCTTTAGGGAAAGCTCCAACACTGTCTCAGAATAAAGCAGTAAAGAAAGCGGTGAAGACGGAAAGCCAACAGAAAATGTTCACGTTTCAATAACTATGACATCTGTATGTATCCATTTTAGAAAAAAACTAATTGTTACTTGTTACTGGTGTTTTTGCATAATATAGCATAATATGTATAATACTGCTGGAAAGGTTTTTTTTTTTTTTAAAGGTTAACGTGATTATGTTTATAGAAGGGTGGATCAGCCAACTAACCGGCATTGCCTCGCCGCATGCACGGCTAATAAAACCCTTCCCACCTCTGGTTCTTATACAAAAACAATACAAATAGTAAACCGTGTGTGTGTGTGTGTGTGTGTGTGAGTGATTGTGTCTTTGGTATATTTGAAATATGACTCATTGTCCACCAGTGGATGACTGCAGGACAGGGGGTGGTCCATGCTGAGATGCCTGTGTCAGAGGAGCCCGTGGTGGGTTTACAGCTGTGGGTGAACCTGCCAAGTCGAGACAAGATGGTGGAACCGGCGTACCAGGAGCTTAAAGGCTCAGAGATCCCCAAACCCAGCCAGGGAGGAGTTACAGTCGCTGTGATATCTGGAGAAGCTTCAGGAGTAAAGGTGTGTGTGTGTGTGTGTGTGTGTGTGTGTGTGTGTGTGTGTTCATAATTCACCCGCAGGGTTGTGATGTCACTGCAGCATCATTAAATCAAGCCACAGAGAGAAGAGAGCTTTGAAAATGATTATCATGTTTATTTTCCTACTCGCCGTTGAACTCATCTTGATTGTGCATTTGGTGGATGCTCGAGGCAAAAAGGAAAAAATGACAATGACGTGCCTGTGTGTGAACTTGTATGACACTTGTGAACGTTAGTAGTAGAGACTGAAGTGAGGGCTGATGATGAATTTAGGCCTAAAGAGGCTGAGAGTGAGTAAAGTATGGTTTGAATTTTGTGTCACTCCAGGGCATGAGAGACTGGTCCAGCATTAAAACTGCTGGGTTCAACAGAGGTCGTTGAACACAAGTAGCCGCCTCCTCTAAAAGTCTTATTTTAGTTATTGTACTCTTTCTAAAGTTAGTTTTTTTGTTTTATTTGAAACTGATTTTACCGTATTTTTAAAGCCTCTGTATGTAGGATTAAAATCCTAGGGACTTTGGCAAGTTCCAGCAGTAAGTCATTGTGTACCAGTTTTCAGCAGGATCGTGTCATTAATATTAAACTTTTTTTTTTTTTTTTGGCCTCTCGAGGGAAGCGTAAACAATTTGTGAACACAGCATATCATCATCTTTTAAGTTGACAAGGCAAACGTTTTTGCAAGCAGCTGTTTATTTAGACATCCAGCAGTTATGGATCAACATCATCATTCATGTGGCTTTGTGGCCACCTGATGGGAGTCCAATATTCCCTCTTTTAGCTCGGTTTTGGGCTCCACCAACTTCTGAGAGAAATATCTCAACGCTCCACTTTGTTCACCAGCTAGTCTATAATTGTGGCTGTCTGCTGTTCGATGCAGGTAGTGCAGTGTGATTTAAGAGCCATTTGAGCAAGAAAAGCTGCCTGCTATGGCTGAAAAAACCCAGTGAGAGTGAAGCTAAAGTTGCGGGTGGAAAATATTCAGGAGATAATTCTCTGTAGCTTCATCACTGCGAGCGACCCATTTCACTGTCCCATTGTCATTTGATACATTGTTTGATACATTATTATAAAAAACTGGCTGATGTAATGTATTTTGACATAGCTATTGTCACTGCTGTGATCTGTTGTTGTCCTGTCATGTGTTGATGCTATTTGAGCCTGTGACAGTGAGACCTAGCCAACAAAGATTTGAATCTTGTGTCTTTCCAAAATGTGACTAGTTATTTACATGTCAAGTAACTTGCCCTACACTGCTTAGTTGTGCTAAGTCCCTAACAATACTGTCCTGTATTTATTGTATTTTAATAGATGGCCATAGTAAAATAGGAACTAACTCTTGTAAAATGCAGGTTTCATTTCCTTAACTTTGCTCACTTTCTCAAGCTTGTTTCCTATTTGCAAAGTCTCAATGCTGAGTTTCTTAAAGGTCATCTCATACATTTCACTCACGATATCAATACAAAACAAACATTAATATACAAAGCTGAAGTATAAGCTATGGAACTACTAATAGGCTGTGTGCTTTGTATCTGAAAAATCCTGTGATTCTTAGTCGGTTGTGGATTATGTGGGTGGCAACAAAACAACTTCAACTTATTGTTCCCAACCCATTTGAACAGCAGTGCAGAGGGTTCTCAAGTTGTAAACAAATGAGTGTGACCGTCACTGGCTCCACTATTTAAAAGATTGAATGAGTGTGTTATACAACTGATTTACAGCGTGTGTGTGTTGGAGAAAGTAAGCATGTTTTTTTCCCTCTTATAGTCTAAGGTCTACACAAGGACACCGACCTTGTACCTGGACTTCATACTGCAGACTGGTGCCCTGCATGTGCAGCCAGTGCCCTCAGGTAGGAGATTTTTAAATGCACCAGTGCGTCTCTATAGAGCAGGGGTGTCAAACTCATCTTCACTCTGGGCCACATCAGCATCATGGTCGCCCTCAAAGGGCCGGTTGTAACTGTAAGACTGTATACATGTAACTACTCCCTAACATATTATTAAATAACTGTCTCTGCTTTTGATTATTGTTTATTCAAGTGTAAAAATATTGTACATGCAGTTATATAAATGTAAAAATATATTTAAGCACATTTCTGTTATAACATAAATCATTTTAATTTAGGGTTAAGAAACCCACATTACTCTATCAAAGATCAAACTATTAAAGAAAATAACAAAGACAAATATCATCAAACACAAGTTATTACATGAACTTTGTTCAAAGCTATTTTTGTCACCTCTCTGCATCACTAATGTCCCTGCCGTCGTCCCGTGCAGGGCAGCTACATCCAAGAGCTCCTCACTGAGAGTCAGGTCTGCCTTCAGCGTCTTACAAACATTGATAGATGATGTATCTCGTCTCTTAGCTAGCTGTGTTGTTAGATTGCTGCTAGTTCCTGAACTCGGTCTGCGATGGTGTTTCTTCACAAACTGACATTTGTAAAAGTCTGTATCTGGTCGGAGCTCACCTGCTCACATACCTTTAGCAGCACTGGGCTGTAGCTTGTGTAAATATATTCTGCTGTGATTGCAGTCTGCCTTTTAATTCTTTCACAATTTTATGTTTTTCTTGGAGGCTAAATTTAGCTCCGTGTTTGGTGTCAAAATGCCGACGTGTATTGTATCCTTCATCACCGACATGCATCATAACACAGAAGACAGACCCGTTTGTTCTCCTTGAAGCACAAACATGTATTCGCTTTCCCATCTTAAATTACATCTTCTTCCCTCTGCATCAATTTTTCTCTTCGTGGACATTTTGGGATTATTTGTCGATCTTTTTCAACTCAATCACTTGTTGGAAAACCGCTTTACGGGCTGTTCCCTCTCCTGTCCACCTGTTTTAAAAAAAAAAGGTAATAACTAATTAACCATATTGTTACCAAGTGACTGTTAGGAGGACAAGTAATCAATGTCCAGCCACGGTGATAATACTTCACAACATGCTATCTCATAATTTCAACTTTCTATCTCATAATTTCGACCATGGGGATATTGTTATTTTCAAGTCTAACTTTAAATTGTTTTTCCAAAATTAAAAAAAACAAACTTTTTATTTATTTTTTTTTTAAGCTGGTGGATTCGCGGGCCACATAAAATGACGTGGCGGGCCGGATTCGGCCCGCAGGCCTTGAGTTTGACACATGTGCTATAGAGGCTTTGTTAATAACCTAAATGCCTGTAAGTGCTCTGTAAGGACGCTTGCACAACCGCATCTCATGGTTCTCATGTTGTGGTTACTGAGGGTAAGTGTCCTTGCCATGAGACGACCCTGTTTACCGCACACGTTATTGAATATTGTCCCCTTGCAGGAAACTGAATGAGTGACAACATGGAAATGTAAAACCTTTTTTCTTATAAGATTACTTTTTTTGGTGAAATGGTACTTTTTAATCAAGTAGAAATGCAAATTAAAAGGTAAATTAATGATTAAAAAGACGCATACTTGCTAAATTTAACACACTCAGGGGGAGTATTTATTTATCTCAAATATCCCAGTGACCATCCACAGTAATATGTCCCCACTGTTATATCACCCCACTGTTAATAGTAAGAGTACTGTGTTTAGCATTTTACAGGTTGCATTGTGAAGGATTTTGGTCATAAAACAAGGTTCACACTCGGTTTGCGCTTGAGAAATGTGTACACAATGTTATAAGCAGACATCAACAGTAACAAGAAACACCTCTGGGACTGTAAAGCTGTTTTTGGATTTCTTTCATAGTTTGATGAGAAGATAAATACCTCTTCCGTAAAATATGACACTACCAGCAGCAACCGGTTTGCTTAGCTCAGCACAAAGTCTGGAAGCGGGGGGGCTGCTTTCCTGGCTCTGTCCAAAGGAAACAAAATCCACTTACCAGCATCTCTAAAGCTCACTAATTAATATGTAATTTCATGTTTGTTTAATCTGTACAAAAACAAAGTGGAAAGGCTCTAAAAGCCCACTGTATACTGCCTGCTAAGCATCAAATGGCAGAAAGACAGTTAGCTAGTTGGCTAGTGGGTGGACATAGTGGAGCATTAAGCAGCTAAAGAGCAAAACATTTTCCTATGGGGAAGGTAGAAACCAACAGCAGCACTGTGGTAATGTTCCTCCATAGCTGCTGGGTGTGTAAATAAGGTTAAAGATGATGTCAATTATTGTGCTCACAACTTGTTTCTGCTGCCTACAAGTGGCCAACACTTTAATTGCAGGTTTAAGAGCAGAGAAATGGTTAACCAAAAACCTTTTTACACAAATACTTTAAAATGAATAATGTGTTTGTGTTTGACAGGATGGACTACATTCATCTACACACTATCAGGATCTGTTCATGTCGGTGAGTTTTGTCTGGTTCATGTTCTCCCCAAAAGTCCCACTGTGCACTCTGTTCATTTTAGATTTGCAGCATTAAGAGATTACTGTTATTTTCTTTTATTGCCAGTCTCGTATAGTCCAGTACAGATTATTAGTGATTTCTCCTCCTGTATAGTACTACCATTATTTTTCTAGTTGGGTATGTGTGCTCTTTTCTGTCTGTTTGATCACTCCTTCACTTTCCTCCCTGCTCTTCCTGCTGCCATATCTACGTTACAAATATGTGTGTGATCTCCGTCCAATCACAACTTCCCTACTACGTCCAGCCAAAAGAACCATGTGTTCCACTTTAAAGCCTGACAGATTCATACTGTAGACCACTCCACTTATGTCAGAATGCAACATCACTGGAAAAAGTTAGCGTGCTACTGTGCATAAAATACGAGCATCTTAGAGTTTGGCTTCATATCAATCACCTTACCCACACGTTATAACTACGCCCCGTTGTATCACTAATGCTGTTTGACATTATACTGTGAAGTACTGCATGTCCTGCCTAATAGTCGATATTGTGTGATCAGGGAATTCCCCTCGCATGAGAAAGAACCTCATTTTCAGAGGCTTTCTTGGTTTGTTGAAACCTGTTTTCAGTCAGAGTTGTTTATATATTTTTTCATAACATTTCATTATGATTCGAGTACTCATCGTTGCACTGCAGGATCTCTCTCAGACTGGTCATAATTGCCGGCAGATGTTTTAATGACAAGAAAGGATGAAATTGGCTGCGAAGATTAAAGAATTTTTTTTTTAATCTTAAATCTCCAACTTTTAATGTAATCCGGCCAAATCGGGACCAGCTGGCTGTGATGAATGCATCGACCGCAAGTGGAAGTGTCTGGCTTTCTTAGCGTCTAGCGTCGGTCCTGTGTGCGTCACCGCGTGCAAAGAAGCATGTCAAAATGACTGAAACATGCAGGTGCCTGGCCCTGTACTCCTATTTAACTCAGAGGTTTTGTTTGTGAAACTACTACTTATGATGCACATGTCGGCTCATAAGCAGCAAGGAAGCTATTTTTGGGTGAAAAGTTAAATGGTAATTCCAATGAACTGGCTGCGCTTTATTTTCCTTTTAATAGATAATAGACCAAGACTTTGATCCTACTGTACCAAGGTTGTACCAATGAGACGGTTTCTCCCAGAAGTCATTTGTTTTTTTAGAAACTCATCAAAAAGATCTCACCAAAGACCACAAACCTCATCAATCCTCTTAAATAAGATATTTATTCATGTGTCACCGTCACAGATTTCACAGTAATAATGTGCAGTGTTGTGTTTGCGTTGTTTTCAGCCAGGGGAAATTAAGTGGTGGGGTTATACTTTATTTATGGTAATTAATGTCATGATGAAGGACAAATAAAGACATCAATGTATTGTATGAAAATCATGAGACATAAGTCCCACTGCACAGTATGGTTGTCCTGTTTAAATGTAGGTGATACAAATATGAGTGGTATCAGATTTCAGTGGAAACTGAAAACAGTCTTTTAGATAAAGATCTCCAGTGTTGCCTAAAGGACAAAACTGAACTGTCCTGGTTTTCAAGGCCCAGATGAAGAGCAGCAGAAGGTGGAGCCCCATCACACCGTAGTGTTTGGAGACGGAGACTGCGTCAAAGCAGAAAATAAGGTGAGAAACTTCCGTTCGCTGTATCGAAACCAGTGGCAGCCGATCTTTTTCCCAAAACGGTGAAAATACTCTGTTCAGTTAGGATTTGATGACTCACTCTTCATCCCCTGTGGGCCACAATGAGCTTCATTGTTTCCGTTTCGTGCCAACATGCTGAGCCTCCACCCTCTTCGTTAGCTTGTCCCTTCACAGAAATGCGCCACGTCATTTCTGATCTCCCTGGTTCTCTTTCGCCTGAAGGAGTCCATCTCTGCTCAACCTTTGGCATGCAATCCGCCTCCATTTGAAGCGGGTGGTGCGTCTATGTCGCCCCTACATTATTTAACTGATGTTCTTGCCTTTTTGTTTTTTCTGTTCCAAGATTTTAAATATCCTTCATAACCTTCTCTGGTTTGATTCCACCATTCAGGACATACATTAATGCCCTTTTTAAAGGGGGGGTCTTTAAAGGTCAATGCCTAAAAACACTGTCAAGGAGTTCCCCAAGACTGAGAAACCCAATAGAATTGTTTGAACATTACCAGTTTTTTATTTGCTTAGCTAGATTAATTGTCAGAACACTTTGTTTTATTGCTCCCAAGTCAATCGGATTCATTCCACTTTTATTCAGCTGGTTTTGATGTACCGGCACCACTGTGGTTCCCAACATTTGTTGTGAGGAGTTCAATCAAAAAGGGTTTTTTTGGTTTTTTTTTCTTCTCGCATTGTTTGATATGAATGTTTTTAGACGCCCCTTTGAGGGGAAATATTTAGTATTTCACAAGGAAAAATATTAAACTTTTATGTGACACGTTATTATTTTTCTTTATTCACCTTGTATTCACCATCTGACCGTACAGATTTTCTTGGGACCTATCGTGGGGTCCAGATCATTTATTTAAAAATTACAAATGAAAGTGTCCACTTCACACAAAGACAATGAGGACATCAATGCTTCTTATTTCCTCCTCAGGGCTCTGAAGATTCCCATTTTGTGCTGATCGCTGGAGAACCAATCAAAGAGCCTGTGGTACAACAGGGTACGTTCATGTGTTATTCCCTCTGAGTTGGGAACAAATCATTGCACACAATACAGAACTTAATCTGTACCTGTAATGTAACACTTACCCGTGTGTTTCCTTCAGGTCCATTTGTAATGACCACAGAGGAGGAGATCAAACAGGCCGTCAGTGACTTCAAGACTGCCAAAAATGGCTTTGAAAGGGCCAAAAACTGGAGGTCCAAGATCAGAGACTCTTTCTGAACACTTTGCACTCTTGTCCCTGGTGAAAATGTTTTTCTTACTTGTTTGCTGCTACAGAAGCATATTTATATTGTATTTATTTAGCCTCTACTTTAACTTGTTGCATGTCCAAATGCTTCATGCCTGTTTGCACAGTAGTAGGACAAATGTGCTTCTAACTGCTCTCCACCCACCTTGTTAAATCTAACCTGTATTCAATTTTCCTTCTGCTGTTTGAAATAACACAGTAGCACAGCAGTTATGAAATTCTTGCTCACATTGTTGTTATGAGGATAAATTAATATACTCTTAAAGGGTGGGTGTGTAGCATTTAAGAGGATCTATTGGCAGAAAACTATTATACATTAAACAACCTACTTATTGATAAGAATTGTTGTTTTTCATTACCTTAGACTGAGCCGTTTATATCGACATACTTCACGGTCCGTGTTGAACTGCCAGGTTTCTACAGTAGCCCAGAACAGACGAACCAAACACTGGCTCAAGATAGGCCCATTTGTTTTCGTGTCAGCCTCCATAGTTCTTCTTACTCGCTTTGCACACGGGAGAAGTTTCAGCTTTTCCGCTAGATGTCCCCAAATCCAACTCATAAGTATGAAGATTTTACCATAGACTGTAAATAGGAAGTAAATATAGTCACCGTGATGTCACCCATTGGTTTGTGGACTGACGTTTTGAAGCTTAGAGTTCGACATTTTGACTGTTGCAATCATGTTTTGTTTTTTTTCGCGACCAGAAGGGACATGAGAGGTTGGAGCTAAATGCAATTGAACGCTGAATGACACATTTTCCGGCAACCAAAATGTTGCATTTAACTTTCATGAAGTAAAAACAATCTGTGAAAGAGTTAAAGTTGTAAGATCAAAACACGGACAACTCCCAGACCGGATAACGCCCAGGTTGCAACCTGGCAATGACAAGATCCTAAAGCCACATCCTAAAGCATATCCTTCTTTATGGTCCATTTCACTCTAAATGGGACCACAATTTACTCAAACATTATGCTGTATGAAGAAGACTTAAAACTAGCGATTGAGACCATAAACTCATATTTACAGTGTTTACTGAGGGAATAAATCGGGTGGGAAGTAGGCATTTCCCCATAGACTTCTATACAATCAGACGTGCTTTTTACAACCATAGGTGTCGCTTCATAATGGCCATTAGAAAGAATGCAGGTTTACAGGGTTCGTACGGTCATGGAAAACCTGGAAAAGCCATGGAATTTTAAAATTGTTATTTCCAGGCCTGGAAAAGTCATGGAAAAAAATAAAATCCCAAAAGTTTTGGAAAAGTCATGGAAATTTGTTATATGCATATTTTCATGTCGTTCATTTACGCCGACTTGCCAGCCAGCGTTTCTCAGATTGGAGTGAGACGAGGAGAAAATGTGATGTGATCTTCGCAATATAACATCTTTGATATGTCGAGTCTTGGCCAATCAGCGTTCAGATGTCTACAGCGTCTTCATTTCCCTCCGTTAAAGTTTGAGTTACGTTATGTACCGTTACCGTTCAGACTTGCTGGGTTAAGTTAACGTCCGCAGCATGCGGAACTTTGTCGACTGTTAACATTCGTCATTATCGCGATTTAGAAGGAAAAAACGTAGCGTGATGAAACATGCAGCCCCCCCGTGTTCCGGTTCAGTTCACGCGGTCACTCATTAACGTTAAACCGGAACACCGGCGCATCTGGTTGCAGGTTGTTTTGTTTAACTCAAAGTAGAATGAGGATGATTTCATGGTCAAAATAACTTTCATGACCACGAAACATGAGGCCCAGATACTGATGAGATGATGAGGCCCAGATACTGATGAGATGATGAGGCCCAGATACTGATGAGATGATGAGGTCAAAGAGCTCCAGGAAGAGGAGGCTGTTTGTGTGGCGCAGCTTGACGCAGGGCTGAGCTGTGAGTGGAGCTGGGCCTGGATAAAGGTGGAGCTGGGCCTGGATAAAGGTG